CATGATGGCATTCATACACATCTATGATGACATCCTTATTTCCCTTGTTAGTGCAGCTATTGTCTGTCATAGATGCTAGTAAGGTATACTTGATAAGTCCTCGCTTTTGTTTTTAATAACTGATTAGTTTCGAGAGCTTATATCACGGGCTGGGATTGAATTGGATAACTGTGGTTTGATCTGTCCATGGAGGTTAGAATTTTCTGTTTGTTGCTAGCACAGTGTCTTCTCAGGGTTGAAATAAGTTGATTTGTAAGTTGTAAAGATAGTGTTTTTGAAGTAGCGTTTTCGGGGTAACATCATGGAATTTTCTCAAACTTTATCAATCGAGCACTCAGATAATAACTTGAGGAATAGAAAGACAGGTAGCATTCCTTGGATTGCTCTCATACATTTCGTAGACAGAGACAGGACTTGAGTCAAGCTTCACTTATGAATAGCTTGACTTGACCTCAAACTTATTTTGAGTTGAGCCAAAATGGTTGCAGCTCGCTTGATTCTGTTTCGTTTTTAAGATATTCTTTCAGAATGTGTTTATGTTATTTTGTTTTGGATTGTCCAGTTGGATTTAGCCATTGAGATCCCGTGTATTTGTAAATATTTGTTCTGTTGCTGTTGTGTAGGCATAGGTATGAAATATATAAATAGGAATTGGATATATAGGCACGGAATATGTTAATTTGATTATGTTAATTGTTGTTTATGTTAATTTGTTTGATTGTCCTGTTGCCATGATTATTTTGTGTTGTTGCTGATGTGATTATTTCGTGTTTTCGTGCCTCCATCACTTTGTTCGTCCTCTCGTTGTTCATTACCGTGTTTTTTTGTGCTGTCGCGCCAGGCATAATGAGGGGAAGTATTACTAGGCATGATTTAGTGGTGTTCCATGATTGAGACAGAATCGCAAAATGCGCAGAGAACCCCACACAAAATACTCGGGTGCAATTCGATGTCACATGATAGATGCAGGCTCAAGTTTGAAGCTCTTGCCTGGACGTAATCTCATAACATTGCTGAGGTTTGGATAAATTTGAAAGTATCAATGGTGCGTGGTGCGACAGCTGTATTAAATATTTTTTCACGTGTTACCACACATTACACCGAAATCACCTGAAAGGATCAATGAATTGTCAGCATTTGTCGACTTTAGGATTGTCATGGCGGCAGTTGTTGTAGTTTTGTGCCGACAGATTTGAGTGAATTCAAGAGCAGTATAGGTTCTAGGATTGTTTGCATCACAGTTGAGGACTAACAAATTGAAATTTAAAGGCTTCTGGAAATATCGATGTGGGAAGGCATTTTGAAAATTTACTAATGTAGAACACTGTTAGCTAGCGATTTGGCAAAATGTATCTGAAATGAGCTCTCATGAATGGAAGAACATTTGATGGAAAGATCGCACACATAACTCAAGCATAGTGAGACAGTTTTCGAGGTGAATTAGACCCCTTTGAGGAACTAACGATATGAGTTCTCGAATAAGATGATAGATTCTCTCGAAAGAAGACTGAGTTTATGCAAGACATTTAGTCATTTAGCATAGGATAGGAATGGCAAATCGAGTAGAGCATTCATGGTATGACGTGTAATGCATGTTAGCGTAAATCCTACGATGAGATCAGCAGGCTGGAGAAAACGTCACTATCTGAAAATTAGTAATATGCAAAGAGAAGGTTGCTGTCTCTGACTTATGTTCAACTTTTTCCTTCTGTGGAGAGCATGTAACTTCGGAAAAACCTTCTGCATTTCCCTTCGGCAGCCATGAGTCAGGCTTCGTATCGAAGTCTTTAACAGTATTCAGTCAGCGCTTCTGAATGACATGCATGCTCCTTTTCCCTTCTATCAACTAAAAACTGGGTGAGAGATTTCGCGCAAGGACAGTGGCAACTGTAATGGTAAATTGCTCAAGCTGAACACCATTTCATTCACTTCTCTAGTAGGAGCCTTAGGAACCTCAGTTCACTCCACCCAACAGTCAGTAGAAACACCATCGATAACAGTTAATTACTTAATTATGTTCGGCGCTTAGTCATCACTCATTTGTAGGTTCAAGTTCTCCACTAGTGTACAAACTACGTTTACTTTCATAACCCAACAACCGTCATACTGGTTTTTACCGCTAGCTCCAGAACAAACGATGTTGATTAGAGTTGGTAAGAACACTCCTAATAACCCCCTCAACACCCAGAACCAAAAATTAGCTCCTTACAAGTTGGAGAAATCAGTTGTTAAAATGCGGAGAGAGCTGTAGCGCAGTCTTCATGCATGCCATAGCTGACGCATGTTCTGTGTGTGTTATAGAATACACCCCTACCTCGTTGACCTAAACTGCACGACTGACGTCTTATTCGTTTTCATTTTCCCTAGTGCATCATTGACGAGTTCTAGCGATTGATCTCATTTGAACTAGTCAATATCTCGACGATATACCATGAATCATCTTTTCATTATTCTTTGCTGGAAGTTGTTTGTAGTACATATTTGTTAGTTGTATTTCGCAAATGCTACTTTTTATTTCACTTATACGAGACAATATTGAATGGGATAATAATTATTTATGCACACGAATCATCAGCATTCAACATATGTTTCAAACTCTATCTGTTTTGTTCGGTTTTCTCCATCGATTGCCCAACACGGCGAACCAAAAAAACTTTTATACCGACTAGTTATGATATTCAGTTTTGTTGTACATATTTCGAATACTCGTTTTGGTATTGTCATTATTAAACTGGTTGCCTCACCAGCTTCGAATAACTTTCATTTTTCTGGGCAAGGAATGTCACTGGCTTGTAATCCTCAACTCCCGAGTTCTTAAATTCAATAGAACTACATTTGTCAAAACAAAGCTCAAGATGAAGTGCTAGTGAGATAAAGCTGAAAATAAAATCGTTTTAGGTTGGTGGGAACGATTAAAACAATCGTTATAAAACATAAAGACATCATCGGGAGCAATTTTTTCTGTTGTTATTTTCGTTGTTTCTTCAGCTAATATTGTTCAAAAATGCATCACGTTTCCACTAGCATCCATGAATATTTTTCCAATCTCGTGAATCTTTTTCTAAAATCGAAAATGTTCCATACGTAAAGAACACTTATTATTTGATTCGAAACATGTATTCAAACATAATTTATTCAAAACATACTTTATTTACATACGTAATATACAATAATGCATCAATTCAAAATTAAATGTGCATCGTTTGTTCTACTAAGGAAATGTCGGCTTTTAACTATTTAATATCACAGAAATTTTCAATGATCATTCTCATTCCGTTTACTGTGACTAATAATCAACCTGAATGAAAATCAGGAAATGAGATTCTGATTTTGCGTTCCTCGCTCTGAAACATTTACGACCGCATATAACCGGCATATTCTCAGCAAACACGTCGTATAATGATCTTCTGATGGGGTTCAAGGGCCATATGTATATCGGCTACAGTATCCTTCATGTCCAAGTCTTGTTCACTTTCCATTAGAGATAACGATAAACGATATTCTTCCGGTGATCCATCTACTCTCATCATTGCCAGCAAAAGAGCTATAGTCTCATAGCATGTGGTTAGTTTGGAGAGCATGAGCGATTTGTAGTTGCTCTTAAAATGAATTTGTTAGAAATTGTCAGAAGCATTTCGAATGATTCTCCCTCTGTTTCCATCTGGAATTAATAGTCTTCTCAAAGATCCGTTCTTTGCTGTATTAAATTCCGCCTTCAAAAATCCACCTCTTCGGTTCTTAATTGAGGGAATACGGCTTCTTATTCGACATAACTGTGGACCAGCTTATCGAGATTAATGGTTTCGGATTGAAAAAAAAAAGAACCTGAGGATTGAGCAGATAATCGTGAATGCGTACAAGCACACCGTTCTGAGATATCGTCAGAAAGAAACGTGACATGTTCACTGGATGACATCGCTGAAGTTCAAGTGGCCTTGAATTAGAGCTCAAAAGAAGCAGATTTTTTACCTGAAAATTACAGCTCAGACTTATCATCACTCTCAACTGCTATGTTCCATTATCTGGAGAGGAAATTCAAAAAAACTGAAACTCAAATAAAAATTAATTAACTATTACATGTGCTTCAAAGTTTTTGCTGGTCATGAAATTATTATTTCGTCGATACTTACAGGTAATTATCATATGATGAACACAACTGCTAACATCACTCACCTCGTGCCCGCGAATTCTGGTCCTAACTTCCATAAAAATTTCGAACAAATTGGGGTCACGATATAGAATGCGGAATTTATTGAGTATCGTCTGTACAACATTCTTTACCGTGTGACTAGTCGACACCTTCAGTGTTTTGTATTCTGTATCAGCCTTAACACAACCCGTATAAACTTTGAGCACTCCCTGAAATTACCACGAGTGAATCTTAGCGATCGCAGTCTTGATTATTGTTCACCTCAGCATACCAGTTATTAAGCATTCATCGCTTTCCTGGAAGTCTCTGCATAATAAAAAAACAATCACCTTGTATCGCTGTGCATCACGCCGAATAGTCTCTCGAATTTGGTCACTGCTGAGCGACTTGCTCTCAACTGACGGTTGCGTGCAGGGTTAGAGGATTAGGAACAAACTGAATTTGATGACAAAAAACGAAACTCACCCAATCACTTGAATCACTGCTATCGATAGAGCTTAACGAAGTCAACGAATTGGAACGATTGTGAACATGTAACGTTTCGTTCGAGGTGGACACGGACGGTGAAGGACTGTGAAGCGATGTTGTTGAACTCTTCAATAGTTTATTGTTTTGATTCAACACTGCCGATGAACGCACCTGATATTTCAACATCTGTAACATCGATAACCGATTCGTTCTCTGTTACTACCGACAATGAGTAAACTTATGCATCTCTGCGATTGTATTTAAGATGATACAAAAAAGTGCTATCTATCACATTATGAAACAGAGCATTATGGCTATAACAGCCAAAGCGAATGAAAGTATTACGATGTGAACGTGTAAAATAATGCCTTCGACTACTTTCTATGGAACGCATAAAGAGGCATTAAAAATTGCTCGTTAATTGAAACATTGCAAATTTTTGTATTCAACGAAGAAACAATTCACTAAAAGTAATGCAGCATATTCTTTAGAGTAATGAAAAAGTGATACTCTTCGAAACTATCATCTAAAAAAAATAATATGCCCAGCAAGACATTTCAGTTTCACAGAAGTTCATAACAAGCATTCCGGCTTATCGTTAAGTTTATCAATTATCCAAACAATCGCTCATTAATTCAAATCTCTTTAAAATCGAAATCGTTTTGCACTGCTCACTTAAAGATGATGCTTAATTCGTCAAGAAGACCTCTGAAAATCAGTTGTTTGCTCCATAAAAAGAACCCCACACCAACGATTAGTAGCATCTGTTTGTTGAGAAATCAAAAAAAATGTTATGAGAACAACAAAATAAGCATTGGTTGAGGTTAGAGGATCTTTCTCAAAGAAGAGGAACAGATGGACGGATTATTCGTTGTTTCAATTGCGGGTTAGCAATAATGTGAAACGGTAATTACATTCGTATGGATAACATGTTATGTTTATGCCTTTGCATACGTTTGCATGGCATATGCGTATGATATGTCGTTATTTCCGGTTTTTCGAACACACTGAAGCCTTATATTTTCCAGATGATCACTTTTATTCAACATCCACATAAATTGAAAGCCATCATTTTTTCACACATCTCTCTCATCAAAAACAAAAATAAAAACGAAACTACCAGCAATCAGATGAACAATGTAAACCACGTTGTTCACGCTCAACTGTCTTTTATTATTTGGTCACATCCTAATGTGCCTCAGAGTCAACAAAATGAGCTTCACATGAAATGCTGACCAACGGTCCGGATGAAAGGTTGTATTTCAAAACAACACTGATAGGCTCTTTTTGAATTTCAGTTGCATTTACTTAATAGCTGATTTACCATCTGAAATCTTAAGTTCTTTTACTGCTGAAATAAATATCCATACAACCCATAAAGGAATATTATCGAGTACGTCATACCCTGATTCATCATATCGGTTTGTACAAACGACTTGATAAGATCTCATTTCTGAACACTTAAAATTTTTGATCCTTTTAAAAATTCTTTCCGATTTCACTAGTGGAACTACAATGACTGCCTTTCTATTTTGCAATGTAATAAAATTCAGAAGGAAGAAGCCATATTGGACAATTTGAACTGCACTCTCAATGAGTTTCGCACAGGCAAGTCAACGCTTCGCGCCAGTCAATTCACATATGGAAGGCGAATTGTGATATAAAATGAACACCATTTCATATTAATTTCGTGTGGCACATGTGTTTCGAATACGCGCAGTTAATCATAATTTGAAAATTAGCAATGATCAATTTGTTTGCGATGGATTTAATGGAACATCTAAAAGAAGAGAACATGAGATTTCAATGTTTCCGAATGAGATAATTTAAAAGAGATATGACAGTTAGAATGTTTGATAGAAAAAACATTCAAACTAGATTCACGTGAGATTATCATCAAAAGTGATCTCAAATTTACAAGACCTGAAGGATGAAGTTAGAATTCGCTGCTGACTCACATTTTTTGCTGTAAAAAGTGGGACTTTTTCGTAGATAGAAAGATATGATTGCAGTTAAATCAGCTGATTCATCTAATGCTGATGCACTGTCTGCTGACAGTCAAGTTCATTCGGAACAATAACTAAGGATAGATGAATACAAATAAAAGTAGTTGCGAAAGATGAGAGACGTTCGAATATAATGTTCGATTACATCAGAAGCATACAATTGGGGTCGCTCATGTTTTGCAGTACATTAAAAATGAATAAATCAAAGCAGTGAGCAAATCGCTAAATACATTCTTAATGAGAGAAAATAATTCTTCTGACGAAACCAAAGCGTGGCTAGCATTAAAGCAGAGTAGGTGGGTGCAAGTGACAGCGAGTTGACGTCACTGTTTCATGTTGCGATCAACCTTCTGAATTCCCCTCTTCAGCGTAGTTCTTTTTTTGCATCGCCCACGAAATAATAGCTCATTACATTTCTTGAATGTTAATTGGATTCAATGATTGATTAGTTGATGAAGATTAAATCTTCATTTGTGCGCTACCAAAGTGTTGTACCGAGAAAGCGGGTACAGACTACACCGTCTTGATGTCATTACGTATGATTGCTGAAGCGCTCACTGACGTATTACGCTTGCAGAGACCCGTTCGGAAGTCGTAATCAGCAGTTGCAAAGGTCTTATCAGTAAACAAACAAAAAACCATTTCGTACTAATTCCGATCAAACAAAATGTGAAGAATTTAGGATTAAAAAACTCTAACAAAAACATAAAGTGTGCTGTATTGAGATAATCAAACGATGACAATTTCATTCCGGTGTGATACGTATCAAAAACAAATACAAAATATATGTGAAAATTGGATGACGATATGAAACGACGCAACAATTATTTTTTGTTTTCTTAAGGATAATTGGTTGCGTTCAGCATGGAATGCGTGTTAATAATATTACTATTAATTAGTGCATGCGCTAAATTAGTTTTTTTTTATTTTTAATTTGGACTGCATCATACCGATCGAGCCTTTAAGTGCACATAAGTATAGAAAATACAAAATACGGTTATTGATCACCAGCTCTTTTTTCGAGAATTTTTTTGCAAGAGTGTTCGGTATGGGAAAAATATAAATGAATCGAATTCGAGCTCTATCAAAGATAATATAAAACGAATGAACGTCAGATGTAACAACGACGAAGTGAATATTGATCACTGAGCGTAATGCCGTCTTACTGAACAGTTGAAATTGCGAAAGGCACAAAAGAATGATTCTGGCGATACAACAAATGGCTAGTTGATTACAATTATTTCCAGAACGGGCGGCGCAAAAACTGACTCAATACACGATACTGAGAGCTTATTGACCGGAAATGATGCAGATTATTCAAAAGTAGTGTTATTCAAAAGTAATGTTGAAATTATGCATTCAAAAAAATTCGAAAAGAGTGCATGCGTCACGGTTAGATCATATGGTTTTGAGAGTGTGAAATGATGAACGAACTAATTGCGTTAATCTAGGGATAATTCACATAATTCACAGAAAAAAGAGTTGCGTAAGATTAATTGAAGCTGAATGAGATAAACATACAGAACAAGAATCGAATGGATAATGCCATTTGCTATGAATCAGATACGACTACATTGTGAATAGACCACAAGAAATTGCAAACGCCACTTCAGATGCATTCGTAAACACAATTAACCAATCATCATCTGCTATGAAACCAATAATGATTCATTTATTTATTTGTGTATTCACTCATTCGATTCGTTCCACTACGCGACGACCTTCGAGCAGCTCAACCAAGCCGCCATTCATACATGAAATACTGTCCTCAAAATTCATTCATCATTTCAGAATTCATAAGAAGTTCCAGAAATTGCGCCGTTTCAAATCATCAACTGGTCGATGGGCAGTTATCATTATAGATTGCTTGAAGTAAAAGGCGGTTTAAGTGACCGTTAGGTTCGTCCTAGGTCAGTGTTTCTCATAGGGGGATAATTTAGGAGTGTTAGTGGGAAATTGAGGATGTAAACGAACTTGCTGATGAATTTCAGTTCTTTTATCGCTGGCGAATCTATTTTTGTCATTTCTTTTCGTTGTTCTTATTTCTTCTGCGATTGATGAATAAAATTCTAAAAATATGTTTCATTTCAGAAAATTATTTTCTTTCAAGCCATCGGGATTTTCGATTTGCTCCTGATTATGCGCGGAAATAGTAAATTCTTGCAGTGGGGGAGGGGAGGGTAATGACGGCCTGCTGGAGGAGGTAATGGAGCCTCGAAGCGTGAGAAAGACTGTTTTAGACAATGTTTGATGGTTGTTATCGAGAATATTCGTATCTAAAATTGATTCTAAAAAAAAAACTGATACCGCATCGGAATGAACAATCTAACAATAAGGGTACTCAACGTTCACAATAGAAGCAAAAAAAATCTTAGAATAGGAGCGATAAGCGCCGTGGATAAACAGGCAACGAAGATGAATGACGAATGAATCAACATTGCAGTGAAGGAAAGAGAAAGGAGACAGAATTGTGGGAGGGAGGATTTTAAAGGCATTATATGTGACGTGAACGGAATGTGCTATATGATGCCATTTAAAATGTTTATGATACATACAAATATTACGCTTATAGCTTATGATCATATGCTTTCAATACGTCTTATTCATCATTTTTGCCACATCATTTCAATTCATCGTCCGGCTCGTTGAAATTACATTTAAAATTTCAGAAAAACGTTTTGTTGAAGCAAAATCGCTACTTTGAAATTCAAAACTGTCACATCAAGATACATTTTTTGTTGCAGTAAGCAGTGCCAAATATAGGTCAAAGAAACGGTCAATTTTTTAAATGTAATTCAATAAGCTTATTCATTCAGTAAGCTTATGATCAACAAACTGCTGAAATGTTGTTGTTCAGTGCGTTCTCACGAAAGCTTTCACTGACATAAAAATGAAGCAATGAAATGATTAAGGTTACAGATTGGGCGAACAACAAACCGGAAACGCTTATCACACTCCAAAACAGAATTTCGTTTATTTGAAAATGAAAGATCTACCAAAATAAAGCTAATTATTCAACGTAGTCTTTGTTGATATTTTGATCAACGCAACTATTGATGAATACCGAAAGGTTGTTTGTAAAGTACTGCAAGTTTGACTGAAAATGTGATGAAAGGACCGAAGAAAATGTTGCTACATTGAATAATCAAGTGAATTTGGACAGTTTCCGATGAAATGAAA